AGCGTGTCAAGTGTAAAGTAGGTCAAATGTCACACTTTTCAAGGCATAGTTAACACTCGGGCTCCATGAAGGTCCTTACTGGTTGGTGCTTTAGGTTTCTTGGCTTTCTATGACTCTTTCGGGCTGTTTTCCTCCATCCTTTTAATCTAAAATAATTTCAAGACTAAGCTATAATCCATGCACATGCCCACGCCAAGGGGTGGAGGGGTGGTGATCCGGCATTTAGGAATGCTGCACAGTAGATCTAGTCTGGGACTTCACTAAGGTCTTGGAGAGCCCTAGGAGATCGACAGCCTTGGGTTACTGATTGCTGACCACATGGTATGTACCAGAACTTAAATATAAGTTATCTCTCAGACAGTCAAGCTAATGAACAGGAGGTATAGATAGCCAAGGATTAATCACTAAACCATGTGGGTGTCGGCCAGAGCTGTGATCTCTCTGGGAACATCTTGAGTTCTTGTGTCTGCCATGCCCAGGGATAATACACATGATATGCTTTAAAAATTAAGAATGTAGTTATAATGTGGCTGGTACTTTTGTTTTGTTTTGTTCTTTTAAGAAATGAGGATCTAGAGCAATGTTTCCAAACCTGTGGGTCGCAACCCCTTTGGGGCCCAAACGACCCTTTCATAGGGTCTCCTAAGACCATCCAAAAATACAGATATTCATGACAATTATGATTCATGATAATATCAACATTACAGTAGCAGCAAAAATAATTTTAGGTTTGGGGGCATCACCACAACATGAGGAACTGTATTAAAGCATCACAGCATTAGGAGAGTTTGAGAACCACTGCTCTAGGGAGACGACTCAGAGCACTTGCTGCTCTTGCAGAAGACCCTGGTTCAGTTCCCAGCACCCATGTCTAGTGGTTCACAACTGCCTATAACTCCAGGTCCAGGGTATCCAATGCCCTCTTCCATCCTCAGCAGGCACTGCACGCATGTGTACACACACACACACACACACACACACACAGTAAATAAATAAGTGATAAATCTTTTTTTTAATGAGAATATAATTACAGAACTTGAGAGGTGGCTGTTGTGACAAAGGCTTTAGAATTGCGAAGACTTTCTGGTAACATTTTGGAAATGTTGAGAGCATGTCTTTTGACTGTGCCTTGCTAGGCTAGTGCACGACATCAGATGCATGTGACCGCCCGTGAGCCTGAGAGCGTTCCAGCTCTGCCTTGCATGCTCTGATCAGGTTTTGCAGGAAAATGTTGGGGCAGGATTGACTGAAGGTTTGCTCTGATTTTGATCAGATACCTCCCCATCCCTCCTCTCTTCCTGTTCTAAAGATAGGAATGTTCTTTAAGGAAGCTGTTCCTGAATTTTCCGTTACTTTTGATTACCCTTTCTCTTAGGAATGTCAAACACAGTGCCCATCAACAGCTCTGAAAGTTGCTCACTATAAACAGGACCAGACAAAGAAAGCTACAGGGGAGGGAGGGAGAAAGGATGCCTGAAGGGCGCTGAGTACAACTATTTCCAGGGTCTAAGCCAGGCATGGTGGCTGAGAGCTGAGGCAGGAGCATTGCCTTGAGTGGGAGGCCAGCCTATACAATGGGAGACTCTACCTCAGGATTGAGGGCATGAGGGGAGGCTTACAGCTTAAGGCCTTTGCATGCATTGTTTCTGTTTGAATTTGCTGTTGGCATCAAGCCAGCTTTCTGTGTTGAAGGTGAGAATCCAGAATGACCCCCTGTCTTCCAGAAAGTCCCACACATTCTCTAGCTGCAAACTGCCCACTGTTGTTGCCGTGATTTCAGCATAATGATTGTCTTGTGATATTGCCCTCTTTCTTTGGGATTTCATGAAGCCTGGGATCATTTATTTTTCACAATCTTAGTTTTCTATCACAATCACAAGATGGTTAAAATTGAGAGGCTGTTTGCACCACAAATAAAAACTGCATGGACACCCGGGCCAGCAAGGTGGCTCAGCAGGGAAAGACTCTTGCCATACAAGCCAAGGGACCTGAGTAACTGTGGAAAAAGAACTGACTCCACACAGTTAGTTGCCCTTTGACCTTCACACGAGCACACACACACACACACTAAAGTTTAAAAATAAAAATATTTTTTAAATGTATAAAAGTAATGAAACCGCATGGGGGCTAGAGCTTTCGCTCAATTGGCAGAGCGCCAGTCATGCACAATACCCTGAGCTCCATCCCAGCACCACATAAACCAGGGCTGGCGTCACACACCTGTGATCCCGGCACTGGGGAGGTAGAGGCAGGAGGATCAGAAGTCCAAAGTCAACCTCAGCTACACTGTGAGTCAGAGCTACCCAAGGGCCCATCTAAAGATGAAAAATAACAAACTTCATGGCTGCTAAAATGAAATCTTAGTAAGTTAAGTTGGAAGTAAGCAAAATTAGCATCCATGAGCACAGCAATTAAAAAGAAAAAAAGGACAGTCTCATTGACAATTGAGAGGTTTCAAACCCTCCATGGAAGCTACTGAGTTAAAAACAAAACAAAAAAAAATCCAAATTCTGTACTCTGTATCGTTTCTGCCCCCTGCTGGATACATCCAGTATCACAATGTTTTGGGCCACTTGTTAACCAAGGAATTTTTTCAAAATTGCTATCCATTTATTAGTGTAAAGATATATCCTGGTTCACTAAAGTTTTTTGTAAAGTTCTAATTTCATTTCAAAGTACATGCTTCTTTTGAAGAACTTAATCTCATTTATTCATTTAAAAGTGGTAAGTTCATAGGTATAATTTTCCTTAAAATAATATAAATTTTGCATTATGTCAACACAGTTGCAATTTTTCAGACTCCTTTGTAAACACTTCCCCTTTAGGAAATCTTGATAATTTCATATAGAAATGGTTACAGATTTCATTTCATGGAAAATGATTCTTGAGCCGGGCATGGTGGTACATACTTTTAATCCACTTGGAAGGCAGAGAGGCAGGCCCATCTCTAAGTTTGAGGCAAGCATGGTCCACAAAGCAAGTTCCAGTACTACTGGGGCTGCACAGAGAAACTCTGCCTCTAAAAACTAAAAAAGAAAAAGAAAATTCTTTATTGATTTGACACTATAAAACCCAGGAGTGGAGCCCAGTCTCCTGCCTGGCACCCTCTGGGCCCGAGTTTGATCCCCAGCAACACAAAGGACACCTAATGATTAACCTTGTGTTGTTACTATTCATTCCACATTCAACATTTCTAAGGTGTGTTGCTGAGGTGAGCACTATCATTTCAGGAAGTCTGAACCATTGAGGACCAGAAAGAATGAAACATAGACCTATGTCAGCCAAAGTAGAGAAAGACAGCTCAAAGGCAAAGCCTTCACTTCAGGCTTCTTTTGATATTCCTGGTTACCCGTCATGGACTGCACTCTGCTCCAAGGCAAAGCCTTCACTTCAGGCTTCTTTTGATATTCCTGGTTACCCGTTTCCTCTGTTCCCAGTAAGTGAAAATAACAACAGTCACAGGGGCCCACAAGATGTCTCAGTGAGTAAAGGTACTTGCCACCTCACCTGGTGACCTGAGTTTGATCCCTGGGACCCTCAGGGTAGAAGGCAAGAACCAACTCCCAAAAGTTGTCCTCTGACCTCCATATGACCTCCATATGCCCTCCTCCAATACTAGTTACAAGTGGTTGTGAGCCATCTTGTGTCAGTGCTGGGAAATGAACTCTGGTCCTCTGGAAGATCAGTATGTGCTCTTAATTGCTGAGCCATCTCTCCAGTCCCAATCAATAAAAATTTGAATAATTTGAAAACTTGACACAAGGCATTGCTGACTTACCTGTAGGATACCAAACTATGTTCTTTTTCTCCCTCTTTAAATAAAGCCTCAATCTTTTAATGATTCTTTTCATTCTCTTTTGTTCTTTCAAACTGCCTTGGGGTGATTTTTATTTTCCTTTTTGGGGAGTAATAGCAACAACAGCCCTGTGACCTTCGGAGTACAAAAAGTATGGTCTGAGGTTAAAATGCTGAGAAGTTCTGAGATTTGACCTGAACTCCTGGTTCTTTGGCAATCTAAACTTAGGAGTAATGTTGTCAAGACCACCAATTGTTTTAATGATCTTTGTATGGAGTGTGTGACCCAGTCTATAGAAGCCCCATGTACTCACAACAGACACACACACACACACACACACATACACACACCTTGCACACATTCACTATCTCTGATTTTACACTCCCTTGTTAAATCCTAATTCGGAATACTTAACATACTAATTGAAGTGGCTGGAGAGAAGGCTCAGCAATTAAGAGCTCTTGTGCTGAGTGATACTGAGGACTGAAATCGAAGCATCCAGGTAATAACCCAGGCACCCGGCAAAGCCTGCAGCTCTAGCTCAAGGGGGCTGGGAGTAGAAATAGGAGAATCAAAGGGGCAGAAAATGTGAACCCAGCTCCTGGGAAAGTCCCAGCATCAAAGGAATAGAAAAGAGTGATGATGCCCTCTCCTAGCTTTTCTGTGTACCCAGAGGTTCGTGTGTGCATGTACACACACACACACACACACACACACACACACACATTTTTGGAGTGTACCAGTTAGGCTGATGGGATGACTCACAGTAAATGAGTAAAGTTAGCTCCACTGCCAAAGCCGCCAACCAGAGTTCAAACCAGCAAACTCAGGGCCCAATTGCGGAAGAGCTGATCCCCCAAAGTTGTCCTCTGACCCCCAACCCATCCACCCCACCACACACACATCCCCTCTCACACAACAAATAAAGAACATGTATTTCAGTAATTTCTAAATACTAATGGAAGAGTCCTTTGGAAAACCTTGGATTGCTAGCCAAAAACAGAAATATTCTTATCAGCGATGTGTCCCAGAATCAGAGACAGGAAAAAAAAATTATTTTTTGAGAGTTTAGTATTTCAAAGACAACTTGGACTTATGGTGGGTAGGGGCCTCTTTCATGGTAGAGTCCCAGACCTAGCGCTGAACCCATTTGCACGTCTGGATGGTAACTGTTATTTATTCTCTCTCTCTTCTCCCTTTGAAGACATGACAATGGATCAAGTGCGAGAATTCGAACGAGCCACTCAGGAAGCCACCAACAAGAAAATCGGCGTTTTCCCACCTGCCATTTCGATCTCCAGCATCGCCCTGCTGCCTTCCTCGGTGCGCAGCGCCCCATCCAGCGCTCCGTCCACCCCTCTCTCCACAGATGCGCCCGAATTTCTGTCCATTCCCAAAGACCGGCCCCGGAAAAAGTCTGCCCCAGAGACACTCACACTTCCGGATCCCGAGAAAAAAACCACCCTGAATTTACCTGGTGTCCACTCTTCTGAAAAGCCATGCCGGCCCAAATCAGAGTAGCTTCTTGTGAACATCCCATTGGGCTTTATATTTTTATTTGAGGCTTTTTTTTTTTAAAGAATCCTCTGGTAAAGGAGGAAAAGACCGCCTCGTCACTCAGATGTGTTCTTTGATCTCAGAGTGTGCATGTGGTTTAAATAATTTCACAGGTAGCAAGAGTCCCTACATGTGCCACACAGCGTCATAGTGAATATGAGACATAAGACCAGGGGGAAAAACAAAACAAAACAAGACAGGAGGGGCTGAGGACGGAACTTAGCGGGTTGAGTGCTGCTGTAACTTGCATGAAGCCCTAGGGCGGGGTTAGCTTGACAACAGGATCAGAAGTTCAGGGTCAGCCTCGGCCATATACAAAGTTTGAGGACAGCCTGGGTTCTATGAGACCCTGTCTCAAAAAGTAATCATAAAACCCACAGAATATGTACAGCTTTGTACATGGGACAGGAAGGAAGCCTTGTTTGGGAGGCCTTGGCGAGTCTGATGTGGGCGTCAGCCATAAACAGGTGAACAGATGGGAAAACATGAAGCGCTTTTTCTTTTTTTTTTTTTGTAAGATGTGGTAAAATAATGAAGCCAGTTTCCTCCCATGAAACCAAACTGAAATTCTCAATAACACCAACAAAAAAAGAAAGAAAAGCAAATAATCTCTCAGGTGTCGCATGCCTAACTGTTAATTTTGGACTGCTCACCACCAATACTTGAATTCCAGTTGTTACCAATATTCCTGTTCTGATTAGTCCGACTCAGGATTTGGGGCCTAATCCACTCCTTAAATTTTTGAAAATTTTAATAACCAACTTCTAGAGGCTCCAAGTGCAATTAACGATGACTTCTTTATACCTTTACACAGAAATTAATAAAGATCCCATCTGTTCCCCTTTTGTTCCCTGGTGGCCTCTCAAATCTTTAGACTTGCCTGCATAACTGTGACCATAGCTGTGGAATGTTCTGGAAACCGAGAGGCCCAGATGAGACAAACATCTCTTCAGGTACTAATGAAGCTTAATCTGTGAGCTTCCATCACTCATTACAATTCTCAAAAATTTCAGTGAACTAAATAAAATCCATTGACAATCTCCCACCCGAGGATGTTCAGGGTGAACTAAGTTACCTGGGCTTGACCACTGTCAGAATGTCTGGTGTCTGAACCTTGCAAAACAGAACTGTCCCCATCTGGGCGACTCTTAGTAACGCCCAGCCGCCCCCTGCCATGGGTTGCCAATCACCAGGTTTTAGAAAACACTTATCATTCCTTACTTGTTCCTTACAATCCAAATATTGGGGACTGTGGTATAGCTCAATGGTAGAGTTCTTGCCTAGTATGCAGGAGGCCCTGGGTTCAGTCCCCAACACTGCAAAAAGGAAACAACACACTTGGCAATGTCTCGAGAACCCAGTGAATATAGCCAAATGGGAGATGTCATCTCCTTAGTAGACTCTTCGAATCCTATTTGTACAGAGGTGTGGTCATAAACACCCCCTTTGTCTTCTTCTCACTGCTCAAAGACATGGAAATGTACAGCAGAGTCCAGGCCAACAGTCTGCAAGGCCATTCATCAAAGTGGCAGAGAAATCTGTCACTGTTGTACCTCACTGCCTTTAAACCCACAAGGAAGGCAAGCAGAATGTCAACAGGCAGCCAGGGAGCTCCAGAGCTCATGTCCCAGCTGTCCTTCCTGACTGGGACCTCCAACCTCAGGAAAGGAAATCACCCCCAACACAGATCCCAAAGGAAACAAACCAGACCAAGGAGTGTATTCCCCTCCCCTGACCCCTCCCAGCCAGTGGACGCTGCCTGTACCCTCTCTTGAGTGCTCCGCACTCTACAATGTCTCTCGGGTCCATGACCTCTCCCAAGGCACAGGTGCTGGCCCCTTGAGCCCAGCACCAAAGTGCTGAGTGTGTCTAGATCATTTCTTTATCTGTAGATGGACATTGCACCCAATTCTCAAAGGAAAGCAATTGCAAATAGCTTTGTGCAACAGCGTATCTTTTCCTTAAGGTGACAGTACCAGGGTAAGGTACTTTCTCTGCATGGTATGGAAGCATGAATCTCACTTGTGGGAAATGTTAATCTTTTCTCGAACCCTTTGGACTTCTCAATGGTTCCCTCTCCGTGCAGCTGTACTCACTGAGAATGTCTGGCTTCAACAAGCAAAAATCCCACTTTCAGAAGACATGGAGATAGTATATGTATCTGCTCACCATTTGCAAGCTGAAATCGGGCTGGGGCGGGCTGATTGGTTTTCGTGTAGTAGAAATTAATTTTGTGCAGTGGTTAGCCCATCTGGCACCTAGTTTTTCCATTAATAACCATGCCACTTCCCCGTTTCTATACCAGCTTCTACTGTCAAGGTCAACAGTCTGGTTCACTTTTAAAGCTACTTTCTGATTCCCTTTTTTTGTGAGTTTTCTTTCCTTTATAGTCAGCCCCAATACCTTTGACACAATTGCAGTGCTAACCTACGGTAGTGTGATTCTTAACCAACACTCGTGTGATCAGTTTTTCTGTCTACATGTGGTTTGCCTGTGTTACAAATACCGAAGGGGTTCTGGGCATTTCATATTAGCTGCTTTGAATATTTAATCCAGTCATCACAAAGCATAAATGACTTCAATATCTTCTAAATCTTGATTTCCAAGTATCTTTCCGCTCTGTCCTTACGTGAATCTGCAATTGTGGGGAACAAGCCTGTGATGACTGTGTACATAGAACATGAATAATTCTTGTGAGGATGGAAACAAAATGGCTGCATGATGGAAATTTGGGAGGACAAAAAAGTATAATAGCAGAAACCTGAATTTACTAAGCATGTTTGAGGGGAACATAGAATCCTTAACTCAGTGCCTCTGTCTGCCATGTGAAAACCTTCAACTTTGTTCACCAAAATTGTATTATACCTGTACATATATTATATATATACATATATATATATATACATATACAAAATGCAGTATAGTGAGTCACACACCACCAATTCTAAGTCTGTGCTAGCAAAACTGAGGGAAGTAACCCATAGGATAATACATGTGTTTACTCCTCTTCATCTCTGATGTTGGTGGATGCTACTAAAATGGCCATACTTCTTGTCTTTACTCTGGGTGGCTTCCGAATAGGAACTATCCCTGTGCTGTAGGTGTGGGACAGCACCGTCACTTTGTCTATGCTTCTCCTGGATCAAGGAGCTTTTGTGGTGTTTTATTGCATAAAGTTTGTCCGAAACCACCTCTGAAGAGTGTTTCCCCCCCACCCCCAGCTGAGTAAGAAAAAGCAAAAGGAAGGACTGAGCAGGAGAGGTGCTGTGACGTTTTAGTTGTGTCAGTTTGTCGGTGGATTTGTTTATAAGTCTGCTATCCAGGCTTTGCATCAATGTGGGAGCTGTTTTAACCTATTTACAGGTGTATGTCATCTGTGTTTTGGGGTGTGGGAATAAGTCAGCTCAGTTGTGGATGAATGAACACAGCACACATAATGAACACAGACACATCATGAACACAGACACACACACGCAAAGTCTGTCAAAATGACTGAGTTCAATCCCCAGGTCTCCCCTAATTGAAAGAAAGAACTAATTCTCATAAGTTGTCCTTGACCACCACACATACAGTGGCATGCGCGCGCGCGCGCACACACACACACACAAAAGTATAATTTTAAGACTAAAATACAAAACCCCCAATGATACCCCTAAAAGTAATCATGTGGTTTGATTTTACAGCCTGTAATTTACTGTAAACTAAGAGAAATCTTGATAAAAACCCATTTTAATGAAATTCAAATTTCACCTCCTTTAGTATCTCTTCACTGCTCAGAGGTGAAAAATACCAGGTCATCACTGGCTTAGACTGATGGGAATTTTCTTTTTGAAAAGCACCAGCATAGAGTCGACTATCCTTTGCATCCATAACCAGATCATCCAATAGAGAGTAACTGTCTAAATGGTTTCCACACCTCTCCATACTTTTCCGGTCACCTGACTAGTGGAGTAATGACAGTCGTCCATCTGAACCATAGTTGTAAAAGTTTTAAAAATCCTGGCCTGGCTTGTAAATTGACATGAATAAATGTTAAGCTCTTCATTCTTGGTGAGACCCAAGTGTCACACCACCACATGACACCCAGATGCAAGATATCTTGGCTTCTTCTGGCCTCCAACTCCAAAGCAGTCTGTTTGTGTCTGCTGTGTAACTGCTCAAGCTTCGGTAGGACATCACGCGGTAAGAGAGCACGAACGTGTGGAGAACTTGACGGACGACGCCCTTTAGCTAACTCCACGCAGCCAACAAATGCTTACGATAAACCTCCACACCTTCTTGTTTTTTTCAAGTTGAAACGGTGTCTGTGGGGTTTCAAGTCTCCCTTTCGGTTTCACTGTGTCCCCGAGAAGACGGGAGGTTCCTTTTAGTTGACGCTAGCTACCCGTGTGCCATCCGTGTGTCCTTTCCAGTGTAATTTCAGTGTTTACGCTTCTGATTGGCTAACTTACTGAAAATACCACTGCCACCGCTGAAGGACCAAGTGTCGGAATGCATAGTGTTGCGAGCGGAGAGTGACGCAAACGCGTCTGTGTCACTCTATGGCTGTCCTACTGTCGTCTACGCCCCGCCCTGCCCCGCCCCCCGTTATTTATTATTGTTGATAGCTTACTTTTTCTTACATTCTGTTGTAAATAAAGTACAAAGCAATCTTCTTCCCAGGCGTAGCTTCCTCTTTCTCAACCAGTCTCAGGGGGAGTGCTGACCAATGTTAACGTGGGGGTCAGTGGAGAAGGAAGAAGCCAATCGCTGTACCCAGCAGTATGGCCTTGTGTGCAAGCATGCCTCCCCTACTAATGAGCATATGAGGCCTTATACGCAAGACCCTTGCAAGGAAAAATCCCAGCTGTCCCTAATTTTCCAGCCTAAAAATAATGAAGGAAAAGCCAGGTGGCGGTGGTGCACACCTGTATTCCCAGCACTTGGGAGGCAGAGACAGGTGGATCTCTGAGTTTGAGGTCAGCCTGGGCTACAGAGAGTCCCAGGGCAGCCAGGACTACACAGAGAAACCCTGTCTTGAAAAACCAAAAAAGAAAAAAGAAAAGAAATCTATAACCCCAAAGGGTGAATGCAGAAACTCCCTTCTTCACTTAGTAGATACTTGAGTGTTCATGGAGTTTGAGATCACATAGCCCACAGGAATCCTTGGGAGTGCCAACCGATTCTCTCCATACCACGGTAAGAGTGTGTGTATGTGTGCCTTGGAAATAGAATCCAACACCATTGGGGATGCCAGGTAAATAGGTAAATATTCTACTGAGTTACACATACCAGCTAGATCCTTTGTTGTTGTTTTGTTTTTGAGAGGTCTCTCTAACATGTAGCCCTAGCTATCCTGGAACTCACTCTGTAGACCAGGCTGGCCTCAAACTTACAGAAATCCCTCAGCCTCTGCCTCCTAAGTGCTGAGATTAAAAGTGTACCACTGCCCCAATTCTTTCTTTTCTTTTTTCTTTTTTTCCCCGACAAAGTCTCATGTGTCTCCTTGAACTTGGAATATGGCTAAAGGTGACCTTGAGGTCCCAATCTTCCAGCTTCGACCTTCCAAATTCTGGGATTTAGGTGTGTACTAGTCCACACCATCTATAGAGTCCTGGGGATCCAGCCCTAATGGGCCACTCTTTTTCCTTAAGGGTTATTTTATTTGTGTGTGTCTGTGAGTCTGCAAGAGGGCATCAGATCCCTCAGAACTGGAGTTAGAGGCATGCCTGCTAGGATCTGAACTTGGATCTTCATGTTTGAACAGCAAGCACTCTCAACCACTGAGCCACCTCTCCAACCCCACAATTGGGTCACTTTTTAAGGGAAGTCAAAACTGTCCCGCCATGGTTTTCCAATCTCACACAGCCCCCACTGTTGACAAGAGGGTCCTCTGGAGCTGGTGAGTATGGGACAGAAACGCTTCACTGCCCCTAGCTCATTAATCTCTCTGGAGCTCATGCAGAAATACACCCCTTACTCTATTTTCCAATTAATCCTCAGAGAAATGTCACAGTCGGCTGGGTGGTGGTGGTGCACGCATTTAATCCCAGCCATCCAGAGGCAGAGGCAGGCGGATCTCTGTGAAGTTTGAGACCAGCCTGGTCTACAAGAGCTAGTTCCAGGACAGCCTCCAAAGCCACAGAGAAACCCTGTCTCGAAAAACCAAAAAAAAAAAAAAAAAAAAAAAAAGAAAAGAAAAAAGAAATGTCACAGTCTTGGGCTGGCTGGCCCTGAGTCAGGGTACCTGCTGCCAAGTCTGACGACTTGGAGTTTAATCCCCCACCCCAGGACCCACATGGCAGAAGGAGAAGAGCAACTCTCCGAAGTTGTCTTCTGACCTCAACACAGGACACACACACTAACTAAATAAACACATAATTAATTAATTAAACGTGATTCAAAGGAAGAAAGCAAACGTCACAGTCTGACCTCTGGGGCAGGTACACTGCTTTTACTGAAGTTCTGAGTTGTGTAATATCAACCCAATTAAGTAAAACATGTTTCCTTTTGTAGCTCCAACTTCACCATTACACACCCCCATCCTGTCTTTTAATTCTGTATTCACAACACACAAACTTCCCACACACTGCTGCTGGCTGGCTTTCAGCCTGCATTCTTGGGCAGAGGCTGCCTTCAGGGCCCAAGCTATATGGAGTTGTTAAATATTTGCATACCTAATACTCAATGTATAGGTGCTTGTGACACACACCCCTCCCCGAGTTCCTGAGCAGTTTTTCATCAAAAGTCTAATCTTAGACTTCTGAACCCCACATATTTCTCTAAAAGTTCCTCAACCACCACCTCCAACTGTACCTTGATCTCAAAGTTCAGGACACATCCTGTCTGAAATAACCTCGCATGAAACTGTCAGGGTCAGCAGGAGGCTTTGATGGCTTTGCAAGGACGACCTGGGTATTCACAGGCACTGGAGTGTGTGTGGATCCACCAATCCCTGTTGTCAGGGTTACGGATCGACTTCTGTCTGACTTGTGTACACATGAATTCTCCCTTCCATCACGTGTGCAATGCCTCATTCAAATCCAAAGTCTAGCTACTTTCCTCTTTCTTGGAAAGGTAGCATTTCTAGTTTGTCTTCTGTTGTGAAAAACAACATACCAACTGTCTTAGTTAGGGTTTCTATTGCTGCGATGAAACACCATGACCTAAAAGCAAGTTGGGAAGGAAAAGGGTTTATTGTTCATCACTGAAAGAAGACAGGGCAGGAACTCAAACAGGACAGGATCCTGGAGGCAGGAGCAGAGGCAGAGGCCATGGAGGGGTGCTGCTTATTGGCTTATTCATCATGGCTTGCTCCTCACGGCTTGCTTAGTCTGCTTTTTTTTTATAAAACTCAAGACCACCACCTGCCGGGTGGTGGTGGCGCACGCCTTTAATCCCAGCACTCGGGGAGGCAGAGGCAGGCGGATCTCTGTGAGTTCGAGGCCGGGCTGGACCGACAGCCTCCAAAACAAAACACAGAAACCCTGTCTCATAAAAAACAAAAACAAAAAAAACAAAAAACAAAAAAAAAAAAGACCACCAGACCAGAGATATCCCCACCAACAGTGGGCTAGGCCCTCCCCCATCATTCACTAATTTAGAAAATTTCTATCTACAATTCGATCTTACAGAGGAATTTTTGCAATTGAAGGTCCCCCCCCATGACTGCAGCCTGTGTCAAGTTGAAAAAAAAACAAAAAACAAAAAAACAAACCTACCCAGCACACTGACTAGAAGCAGCTTGGGGAGGAGAGGGTTTATTTCAGCTAACATGTCATAGTTCGTCACTGAGGGAAACCCAGGAACAGAGACCAAGAAAAAGCACTAGATAGTAGCCTGTGCTCTCTCTCTCTCTCTCTCTCTCTCTCTCTCTCTCTCTCTCTCTCTCTCTCTCTCTCTCTCTGTGTCTCTCCCTCCCTTCCTCTCTCCCTCCTTCCCCCCCCCTCTCTCTATATATATATATCCCTCCCTCTCTCTTCTCTCTCTCCCTCTCTCTCTTCCTCTCTCATTCTCTCTCCCCCTTTCTCTTCCCTTTCCTCTCTCCTCTGTCTCTCCTCTCTCCTCCTTCTCTCTCCCCTCTCTCTTCTCTCCTTCCTCTCCTCTGCCCCCCCAACACGCACACACTTTATTATTAATTGTGTGCATATCTATGTGTGAAATGTGCATGTGTGAGTGCAATACCCTTGGAGACCATAGAAGTTGTGAGCTGCCACGTGTGTGTGCTGCAAACCGCACACAGGTCCTCCGGAAGAGCAGCCAGTGCTCTGGACTGCTGAGCCATCTCTCCAGCCCCCAGCTACCTTTCTCAGACAGCTCAGGTCCTTCTGCCTAAGGGTGGGATAGGCCCCCCTACATCAGAATTGCTCACGGCTCAGTCTGAAAAAGGCAATTCCTCAGTTGGGAACCCCTCTTCCCAGACTCATTGACGTTTGTGGTCAAAATGATAAATAATAAACTAACCACCATTAGGAACAGGTCAGTACTTTGCCTCAATGTCCTCGTTCTGTTCCCAGCATGTGAGGAAAAGAAAAAAGATAAGGAAAGGAAGAGGGGCAGGAGGCCTGGGGATGTAGCTCAGTGAGTGGAGTGCTTGCCTTCCATGTGTGAAGCCTGGGCTTCAATGCCCACTGTTGGCTTTACGGGCGCTGTAACGATACACGACACACAATTACTGAAAATAAGGCTAAGTATTTTATATAGAAAATTACTCACAAGATACCAAACCCCGAGAAGCCCAGCAGATCTCCGCTAGCGACTGGACCGGAAGCCGAACTCCAGGAAAAGAGAGCGAGACTTCCTGTGCGCTGTCTTTTATGCCTTCCCCCGTAACGCCCCTAGCCATGCCCAAAAGTGGGCCTGGCTAGTGACGTAGTTCCGCCTACGTACGTATACTTCTTTACGTCCAGCCGTATACGTCTTTAGTCCTGCCTAAAGTGGGTGTGGTTAGCGGTGTGGTAAACCGCCCTTTTATTACCTCATCTGTATGCGCCTCTAGTAAGTCACATGTTTAGTGGCGGCATAGACTTAGTAAGTCACATGTTTACTGGCGGCATCAGACTTCCTCCTACAGCCCACTACCACATAAATCAGGTGTAAAGACACACCTTTGTAATCCTAGCATGTGTGAAGCCTGGGCTTCAATGCCCACTACCACATAAATCAGGTGTAAAGACACACCTTTGTAATCCTAGCACTGGGGAGGTGGAGGCAGAAGGATTATGTCTTAGTCGATGTTTCTATTGCTGTGAAGCGACACCATAGCCATGGCAATCCTTGTAAAGGAAAACATGTAATCGGGGCTTACTTACAGTTTCAGAGGTTTAGTCATTGTCATCATGGCAGGGACCATGGAGGCATGCAGACAGACATAGTGTTGGAGAAGTGTCTAAGACTTTTTTTTTTTTTTTTTTGGTTTTTCGAGACAGGGTTTCTCTGTGGCTTTGGAGGCTGTCCTGGAACTCACTTGGTATTCCAGGCTGGTCTCGAACTCACAGAGTGCTGGGATCAAAGGCGTGCGCCACCAATGCCCGGCTGTGTCTGAGACCTTTATCCAAATCTGCAAGCAGCAGGAAGAGTGTGAGGGCTTCTGAAACCTCAAAGCCTAGTAATAAGTAATAAGGCGACACCTAATGCTTTCGAATAGTGTCACCCCCTACGAGCCTATGGGGGCCAT